ATATATATATATATATATATATATATATATATATATATATATATATATCCCTATTCTAATAAATAAATAGGTTAATTATCCTATTGACAAGTGTCATTATATTAGAATTCTTCATTAATATTTATATGTCTCATATCATGCTACTTGTCAACATATTAATTATCTATTTTAAATTTCAAATTTTAAATTTTCCATCCTGATTACATTAAATTTTAAATTTTAAATTTCAGAATTTTTCATTTTAATTATATTAAATTAATAGCATTAGATTAAAAAATAAAATAAAATTAATACATATTATAAGGTGATATAACTTCACTTATTTATTTAAATTAACGATTATAATTTTATATAACTAAAAAAATACCTTTAAGTAATAATTTATTTAAAATAATTGATTAATAATTTTGATTTTTTAATATGAAAGCTTAATTAATTTTATAACCGTGGTTCTCACGGGTTATAAACTAGTATATATATATAAGGTTATCATTCTATTAATTTGATAATAAATTCTCATAAATGCTTCAAAGGATTTGATTTCTTTAATAAATGCTCCAAAAGATTACATTTTGTTATGGAAAAGCATTATTTTATAAAATATTTAATGTTTATATATATTCATTTCAAATTTTTGTTTTTAATAAACCTGTGTAATACACGGGTCTCACACCTAGTTTATAAGAATATATAAGTAATATTTTATACGAATGTGTTGCAAACTTTTGTAATTTGTCTTTACCCAATGTACATCTCCGATTCATTTTATATTATTTGTTTATATATTGAATAAGAGAAATTAAAAGAGGCGAATGTTTCGTTCAAGTAAAAATCTTTTGTGTTTCGTGATCCACGTTCTGAATCTTCCATTGTGGAAGATTGTTAGTTTTTTTTTTGACCGGCTAGAAGATCGTTTGTTAGTTAATTTCCAAGCTTTTCAATTATTTTGTGTGAAAAATGTACCCGAACAATTAGTCTTGTTGTTAACATTGCTTTCTTAGTTCTCTTACTATAACTCAAATTCGCAAATGAAGTAAATGATTACATTTCTCTCTTTACCATGGCATATGGTGCATAAGGTGCTACAAAATGTGATAAAAACCAAACCCACAACACATATTATAAGGAATATGAAAACAATATTTTCTCATAAATTAATTCAAATTTCCACATATTTTCTATACTACAATAAAAATGAAGCGATTAAGTCACCACACTGATGCGATTTATGATCTCGGTGGATAGAAAGCTCAAGCTTGATTCAACGGTTGTGAGATAGTGCACTCCCGAAGATTTGGAAGTGTGATGGAGAAGGAATCGGAGCAGTTGAGTTAAAGAGTGGTGGTGGTGTCGGAAGTTGTGGCGGGCATTGGTAGCACTTAGTAAAGATCCCGAATGTGTCAATTTGGTGTATAAAGTTTGTCATACTCGCCCACCCTCCAAATCCAAATCCAACAATGAATACCCACACAACTACAAAAGCATTGATCGTGTACGTTCCCACCCATCGCCCAAAAAACTTTGGTGGTGGCTCCACCGCATTCTGCATCACAAAAGTTAACTAGTCAAACGTTTATATACAATACAAAGTAAACTAATAGTATCCAAAAAGTCTGGTTTACGTGTGTCTGACACCCTAAACCCTAAACCATAAACATCAGTATACAGAATAAACCAACATTGTAATGGTTGATCATGTAGTGTAGATTGTAGAATGAATTATACCTCTCGTGCGGCAGCCGATCGGAAGGTGAACATATGAGCAAGGGCAGGGATGATGTAGACAGTGAAGCTAACAAGAAGCGATCCAACGGTGGAATTGATAGGTCCAAAAAACGGAAAGATGATCGCGAGAAACCATATAGGGACAACCACGGGCAACCGTGCTGCAGCACGCTTACACATGCTCTTGCATTCGTGCATCCCGATTGCTTTCTCCCACACAAAGTATAACGGGGTGCACGCGAACCCAAATGTTATAAACTACAAGAACAATTTTTAGAATATTTAAACTTTTAATATCCAATATATTAGTGAATTATAATAAATATATCAAGTAACATACTTGATGAATAAGCATAAGGATAACAGCCATATTTCTCCATGGGGATCTTGGAAGGAGAGCAAAGGCATTTGAGTGGTTAAGTAATGAGTCTCCAAATGCCCAATAAACAGCCGCAGCAGATGGAAGTGTTAGTGTTAATACGTAAGCAGTGGCCCACAAGTAAATCGCTTTGAATTTTTGTGGCTTCCACATGGCATGCATTATTTCTCTGTACATAACATAATGCTTCTATTTAGTACTTTATGAATAATTGAACAAACTTTGTCTTTTTAATTAATGGGCCCATGGACCCATGGAATGTATGGGCTCTCTTGTCCTTGAATCAAAATCCATGGCCCAACAAAATCTTGGAGTATCAAACTATTGAGACCCATTTTCTAGTTTATCTTTTGAGTTTGGATCCATTTAGTTCATGGGATTATGTGATATATCAGTTTTATATAAAGTGAACGAAAATATGAATGAAATTTAGGTCTTGTTTGTGTCAATGAAACCTTAGAAAAGTGACATAACATGTAAAAAGATTAAAGGTAAAGCCTAATATTAAAATAGAAAAGGTTAAAGAATATAATAATAGAAAAGAGAGATTGCTTTCTATAGTAATAAAACACCGCGATGTAAAAGACAAAAAAGGGTCTCTGGAGAAAAGAATGATTTTGGGTCACCCATGCTTGAGGGGGTAATATAGTAAATATATTTGAACTGTCATGTTTCATAAAAGGGTGTTGGTTAGTTGTGGTTGAGTGCACAGGGATTTAGATAAGGACCAGTCAATGTAGGGAATCTTTGGAAAATTATGGTAAAGTCATTGGATCAGATCAGACCATGTCTGAAGAAAACAAAGCTCAAGTCATTTTCAAGAAAAAAAAAATTAATTAAAAACATAAATAAATCGTTTCATGTTTAAGATTTAAAAAACTTGTGTACCCATTGATTAATGTTTATGTTCATTTCAAAAGATAGTTTAAATAATCAAAGTATTAAGACTAGTTTAATGACCATTTTGTCCCTAAAAAATAAGTTTTAATATGACTCCTTTACATGGACTTAACGAAAAAAGAAAAAATAATAAAAGTGTGAAAGCAAAACAGGCTCAAAGTTATCTTCAACATGATGATGATGATAACACCCACAAAACAAAACACAAGTGATGCTAATTGCTAAATGACAGTTGTATCCATTTTAATTGAATAAAAAAAGGAAGGGTGTCTTTTGGAAATAATGTAAAGGACAGGGGGGTTGTCTTACACAGTAACAGCATGTCCCCCAAACGTGTAGAGGATATTTGTTGCCCCAGTGAAGTAAAGAACCATCTTTGCTGGACCAGTATGTTTCACCCCTTCCACCTACAAAATTAACATTTTACACCCCCATACTTTTAATTACACCAACATCTTCTTATACAATATTGTATCGTTGTAGTACTTTTAAAAAAAACAACTCACAACTATAAAAAAAACTTACTTTAAACATTAATTAATTAATTACAACATGTGAATTATATGCTTTACAATAAGTGCACAATATATTGTGAGAAGACCCACTCAGATACTGTTTCGGATACTGTTTAACGAAAAGTTATATTGTGTATAAAGTATGAATGGATTGTGATTTGCAATTGTTTATTTATGAAATCCAAGTTATTATAGTGAAAAAATACAGGATAAGAAGAAAACCTGGCCATGGAGCAGTGAGGCAATAGTGAGGTACCACGCAGTGTAAGTGGTCATAATCAGTCCCAGAAAGGACCAAATTCGATAGTTGTGAAATGACGGGATAAATACGGTTGTTGCACAACATGCACCAAATATATATGTCCATGTCCTCTTGTCCAAATGATCATTTATGTAATATATATTGCTGCGAAAAACAAACATTATTTCGTTTATGTATTAATGAGTTGTACAAAATGCAACATTAATTCATTTATTGTTTGTACATTAGGCTTTAGATGATGTACCTTGCACAAGCTATGAGTTGGATCACTGAGCCAAACAGAAGAAAGGTGCAATTAAATCCCAACCCAACGTTTCTCCAATGTTTCCCAAGTAGTCCATCAAGAACTTCAAACCACTACAATTAAAAGAAAGTCAAATCCAATGTAATTAAGTACCACTTCTAAGGAACAAGGGACAAATCATTGTAGCATGATTTGATAAAAGGGGTAGAGGATAACGAATCTAGAGTAATGTATACCTTTTCTAAGCCTTTTTTTAAAAGATAGATATAATTTTAGAAGAGTGTACAATTTTTAATGCACGACGCATGGATCTTTACACAATTATTATAACTCTAGATTTAAGCATTTTACGAAAAAGACAGACATATTATCAATTTCTAGCTAAAGTAACAAAGAACGATCTTGTCATGACTCATGATAATGTCTATATGTTTATTGAATGTACATCATTCATTGAAGGTTTTAACCCTACTCTACATTGAAGGTATTTAACTGGATCCATGCATGCATACGTACAAGTAGTAAATGCATATACAGGCATTAAAGAGTTGTACCTGGATGACATGGTTTCTGAAATCAGCCTTTTCTCTTTCTTTTCTAGTTCTGTATTCGACATAAAGAATGCTGATGAGATAAGCAGTCCAACTTCCCATCAATCCATAGAAGATTTGAAACAAGATCCCTGAGAGCATTCCTAGTTGCGAAAATGAGTAGGGTAGTGTAAGCAACACTTGTGCCACCTGTACGATGATAAAGATCATGCCATGTCATCTCATGATCCAAAAGTTTGAACAAAGTTGAACATACATACATGGTATAATGGAAAAAGTCGAGACTATAGTCTATACATGATCTTTTTTTTTACTGAATTTTGAATCTTTTATTGCAAACATATGATCATATATAGTTTGAAGAAAAGAACACTAGAATTTGAAGATACCTGATTGGAAGAACAACTGAACCAAGCATCGTAAGCAGAACCACCATTCCAGAAGAAGTTGGAGATGGTGGATTTGACATTTTTAGCCTTGCCGTCACTCTCCATTTCCACATAGTTACCTACCAACACAGTCTCAACCACCTTCTCATGACCTTCATCCATGGGTACTTCTGGAATTTGGAAATATAAAATTTCTTGGGAGTTAATGGAAATATAAGAGATGGTGGGTGGGTGGTGTTTATTTATAGATGAAGAAAGACATAAAAGAGAAGAGAAGAGTTGTGTGTGTAAGTATGTCTATACATGTTGGATGTTGGGGATTACTTTATACCGAAATTTATTCTTTCCATAATAGTGATAGATATTTTGTGGTTTTTTAAAAAAGAACCACTAAAAACGGGTCGGGTTGTATTAATATGTTAATATGTTTCTGAAGTTCTTTTAAAATAAAAAAATATATTAAAATATTTTTTAGGCAAAAATTATTTTTTCCTAAATACTGCGAAATGACTAAAAGAACTTTCGAAGAAAAAAAAAACTTTAAAAACTCACAAATTTGACTAATGAAATCATATTTCTGACCTACGAATTCACAAATTACTTGCAAAATGGCCAAAATGATATTGTTTCGATTTGTTTAAATAAAAAAAATTCGTAGATTGGACCTACGAAATTGTTCATGAATTTATAAAAATCATGATTAAAATATAAAGTTATTTTGTTTTATAATTATTCAAAGACTATTTCATAGCAAAGTAGAGCTTCATGTTGTGCAAGCGAACTCCTAGATTGATGTTTGACATGTCAACATATTCAAAACAATGTCGTTTTAAAAGGAAAAAAAAATCACAGGTCTGACCTGTGAAAATGCTTGTTCACTATGAAGTTGTTAATATTTTTACGAAAATCATAATTTTTTGTTAAAACATTTTTTTATTTATTTAAATATTGTCGGAATATTTTCATATTAAAATAGAGCTTTTTGTTGCTAAAACAACGTCTTGAATTAAACTACGAAAATATATTATATATATTAAT